GCTTTCGACTCATAAAACCATCTCGATCACACCTCGCCCCTTCATATGCAAGTCCAAGTAGTTAATAGCAGCAAGTACTCCAACATCTCTATCACCCCTTCCAGACACCCCTATGTTCCTACACGGCACACTCCCACCCTCATGGTGTCAGCAGCTTGTGATGACCCCAAGGCTCTAAGATTAGTGTCTAAAGGATTCCGTGTGATGTAACTAAACTTCACTTTAGGAGTGAACACCAGTTCATCATTACTTCCTCGTGGCCCTGCAAGACCAAGGACACGCCATTCATGAACGACACCCAGTAAACGTCCCGGAAACCCCGGTCAACCAACTTAAGACTCTCATTCCTAGTCTACCTACACTAATCCGGAAAATGATGCCGGAAATACCCAAGCCAAAATCGGGCTAACAGCTCCTGGGTACGCGTAGCCCTTGAATGTGCGCTATTAATGACAGCATGGCACTGATTACCCAAAAACCATACGTTTCTGTTATACAGGGTTTGTCAACAAGATGGATGGAAGTTAGGGGGTATGGTGCCCAACGTTAGCCGATGGATTCCTACTAACCCCAGAGTACTACACCGGAAGCCACGTCTACTCTGTTTTGGATTAAGACACAGGAAGTTCATCGCGTAGCCCAGCCCTTTCCTCCTTTCAGAAAGCCATCTAAGGAGCAAGCAACATCCTCCGACCCCTTTGCCGTCAAGAAAATGTTAGTGATTTATGCCTACTCTACCTGGATGATCTGTGTCAAAGTCGAAAACCGCAAGGCGGGCGACCAAGGACAAGCTATCACAGCATACCAAGTAAACTTAATTCAAATTCACGGGAGGCCTTCACTAGAGACCGGTACCTAATTCCCAAAGAGTACAGCAACTATAGCAAACCTCGAGTGATCTGTTTCTATAGACGCCTATTTCTCGGTATTAACTCAAGATGAGGCACTTTATAATGATCCTAACCAGTTCAATTATACAAAGTGCCACTGGCGAAACCTCTTTCGACTAAGGTAATTGAATCTATCTCTTTTCAAGTTCACCCCTCATCACATCTCAAACCAATACCTCAGTCGCTCAGGGGGCGAAGAAAGCTGGACAGGCAGAAGTCCAAGAACTTCAAGGAACTTTAACGCTAGTGTCACTAACTTGGGTCAGGTATGAGTCGCCTTCTGCCGGTCCTAGGTTTCTACCGATACACTCGAAGACTAAAGGCTTAGCCATACGTCCATACCCCAATAGGGTATGAGAAACGAATACTCAGACAAAGTAATACACGATCTCCATCGTTGCCTCATCTCGAGCCTTTTAGAAACCAATATCTAGGTTGGTATACAAGAATAGCAGAAGCATCGTCTTTACAGCATTGAGTCACTCATATATCAGTTACTCTCTATTCCTCCACCGCGCTCACGTTAAGCTAACCTGGATTGACACACACGATATAACTTCAAGTTCGAAACTTCCAGCATGCTACCAGCTACAAAGCTGAGCCTTTGGGGTTTCATTAGTATTCATAACTATTCCCATTTTGTCTATGTCTTGTTACTGCCTTATTCCCTTTTATGGATAACATTCCAACTGGCCAGACAATACCGTCATGCTAACAGCGCTATACATAGCTCTCCTGAATTAAGTACGGCTCTTGCTTTTTAATCCACGATCAACACAATCGCCCATACAGCTATCAATCAGTATGGATACACGAGCAAGAAGTGGGAATATGGCTATGTCCAAGTATAAAGGCTATAAACTTAGCTAACATTAGGTTACTCATATAGCTGGCTATACACTTTTATCCTAAGCATTTCAGTAGTTCACGAACCTAGGGGTTGGCACCGATCTCGGCTTTTACCGAATAGGGGGGTGTCCGCTGAAGATGTTGCACCGTATATCACTGGCTCTAGTGTACCTGTTTGCCAGCCTGACGAGCCGCCAGAACCCGTAATTTTCTCTTGTCCATTTCTTATAAACGGGCCTAGGTTGAGGCAACCCGGGCATGAGTAATTGTTATCTTGAAGCTGGCTATTGCGGGGCAAGTGATAGGAGTAGTATGCGGACGAAGGATTTTATTTAGGCTCTATTTAGTACGGACCTTTTAGCCCTCCCCAAACGCGATAGGATGTATCGCCGTTATAAACCCTAGGTTGTTACTATATTGCTATATACTGTAAGTCGGTGGTATAAAAACACCAAAGTATACTAGCTCCAACCCCAAATCTGCTGTAGAAATTGGACGACTGATGATCGAGACTGGACTGTTGCTAAGGTGCGTCATACCAAGCCAGAGTGTTGACCTAGATTCTTAATTTATATAAGGTCGCATAGGCACCTAAGATACTCCCTGAACCTTCATAACCTCACTAGCCTCTAGAAGAGGAAGGGTATATCAGTTAAATGAGTATCAACGGACTATGTATCTAGTATCTCTATTTGTCTGTTTTACAGAAGTTTTAAGGGGGCGTGATATGTATTATATAGAAATTCCGTGCAACACTATACATCTATGAGCTTAGGGTTAAGGGTGGGGAGGGGCCCGACGAAGTTCCTAACACGCATAGTCGTCGATGATGTTAGATCCCTATGCTACTAAGGATATCTGGGATAAAGAGGCTTCGACTATATGACTAACTAGCATGGTCTTGTAAACTTCTTAGTTGTATGAATCTATGTGCTTTAGCGGGTTTATGGCCTAACTTCTTGCTCGCATAGATGGTGAATGTTCACTTTAGATTAGGAGCATTGACTAGTAGTTGTATATAGGTTAGATTAGTACCGGTGGAAGGGCAATCAACGGTAACATGCCGAAAAGACACATAGCCCCAAATGAGAGAGAATAGAAATATATTGGGCCTATAGGGTTAGTATGGTATATCTCGAAACGGATTTTCTATTTCTTAAACTACTTATAGTTATTCGCATACTACACTTACCTAGCTCTATGCCCATGCCATATATCAAAAGCTTAAGGAGGATAGGTCGCTACCCCTGACACCGTTATGAAATTTACGTACCTGCAAACTAACTATGGAATCTTATGTGTGATTTCGCTAAACCAACTCCTTGCCCCTAGGAGCTAAGGCCATGGCATGAGTCATATCAGTATCACCACCAGCGACTGCGCTTGGGGCAGGTACCTAACTTTTACTGGTGTTAGACCTAGAACACCGGACCATATAGGGCAAATAACTTACAAGTATGTTAATGGCCTAGCCTAGATGGGTATATAGATGTTTTTGCAGCTGGATAAATCATTTTCTCCCCATTGCTTGTGGTCATACGTACATTTGCATTAGGGGATTAGAAGAATTCTTATATATCGGTCATCATATTGGACGTGTTGAAACCGTGTGCGCAAGATACATAACTAGACCTTTCTATATTTCTAGTATCAATCAACGTTTCATATGCACAATTACCTATATACTCTAGTAGCAAAACCAGAATCCCTGGTTCTAGTAATGAAGCGTGAGCTGCGACTTGGTAGAATGGCATTGTCTTATTCAAAGAAACCCAGAACTTTGCTAGCCGTGAATCAATACTTCAACTGAGTCTTGAGGTTCTTATAAGGATTAGAGGTGGGAGAATGCCATTACGTGATATGTGTATCTCATTCAACACAGGCCTACCGCGTAGACACGTAAGTATAAGCACCTATGAACACCTATTCTTCATTACCCGATACTGGCTATGATGAAAGCAGCTTCTTAAACGTACCGTGAAATAGAGATCACCTCTCACGAGCCCTTAGACTCCTATTTTGGGAAACCCGATATCTCCGGGGCTTCCTTGTGATCCTCTCCGAACAATCCCGTTAGCGGCTTGGCCCACCCAATCGCAGCCTGTCTAACCTCCCGAGCTCAGTGCCTTCTCGCCGTGATAGCCCGGGAGATCGGGTGTCTTGCTGTTGATTTAAAGTCAAAAGGAGCCGCATCGCGCTTCTCCACACCTTTCTCGTCAATATCAGATTGTCATCGGTTAGTCCTGAGCCTCAGAACGATGCTCGAACGACTCCGAGCTCACACGACCCGTTTGCCACCCGCTCGCCCGCCCACCGCCGTGGAGCCGAGGATGTACCAGCACCAGTACCAGCTTACCAATGTCTAGTCGGAATCGGATCGTTTCCCTCTGGACCTCGGATATAAGATAGCAAAAGGCCGTTTTTTTATGCTTGTGCTTGTGCTTGGCTAATTCGTCGCCCAATTGTGCACCCCACGTGCGAAGTGCGCTTTTTCTCTCGTGCTATGCGCTGATGGCGCGGAGGTGCGCACCCTACGTCCGCGGGCAACGACCGCCGCGCCCAATCACAGCAATACGGAGGAGCAGATAGAGGCTAGCGAGTCTGTCACCCCGGCCAATATTCTCTCGTCCAACAAGGGTATGATGCTTTAGGATTCCTAGGGTGTAGAAGTGGGAAGTGGGATATGCTGACTCTGCTGAAACTTCACGCACGTTGCGGCACAAAGAAAAAAGCATAGTAAACCGTTATGGCAAGTCTTGGCGATTTCATTACTACATAGGTATGTAGAAACACATACCAAGAGACTAACGTAGGTTACATGTATGGTTTACACCCTACCTGAGAGTGTATCGGTGTATAGACATAGACATAAACATAGACATGTGGGGGGACACACAAAACCTTGGCGGAACCTTGGGACTATCCTTGAACTATGCTCTGCCTATCTAATAGGTAAGGGTCTAAGGGGTGGTGGCTATTGTCTATTTGTCTATAAAGGACGCATCCCATTCTCTCGAGGAGCTTTCTGATCTCTCTCACAACCATTCTTCTTTCTCTAACACAGACAAACAGCTCCCAGACAAAGCCAGAATCCTAAAGAACTCCCAAGTTCCCCGCTACTCAGACTAAACTCTATCGTCACCACCGACTCAAGGTATATATCTGCTGAGCATTTATATTATCTACCTACGAATTACTCCCCACATATTCTATCAGCTACTTTTACATACTCCGTTATCAACATCTACCTACAACAACAAGATGTCTTCCAACAACCAGAGCATGGCCCAGCAGGTTCGCGACAGCCAGCCTCAGATGTTCCTATCTCTGGCTCCCACGACCTCTGCCTCTTACCCTACTGCTCAGAGCATCAAGCCTGCCCTTCAACAACATGCCCGCCGTAGCTCCAGCCAGAGCAGCGTCGGAAGCGTAAACAGCCTACGCTTCCTGAAGTTGGGCCCCGTCCACTACGGCGAGCACCCCGGCGAGCACAAGGAGGACTTCCACGAGGTCGCCGTCGAGTAAACGGGTCGCTCCCCCGGGAAAACTTTTTTTCTGTTCCATCACTGTTTCGTTTATTCGCAAACTAGAGAAGAAAAAATTGGACACGGCGACATCATGGCTAAGCTTCACGACATGAAAAATCATTACGATCTACATCCATTATAGCGTGCACACCCGATGGAGGGCAGGTTCATTAAAGGAGGGTTGCGTCCGGTACTGATTTCTTCTTCGTCTTCCGCGGGCGTTTTGGGGATGGGAATTTGCGATGGATGGATGGGGACGGGTTTGGGATTAACACGGATTGGATAGAATATTGCCTAGAGTGCATGCATTCGTGTTACGGAACCGTACGTACGCACGCACACCTTGACGGGTGCGGATCATAAAAGGGCAGATCCCTTGGCGGTTACTTGCGGCAAATTGATGCCTATCTCTCTATATTATACTAGCATCGTGTTATGTATGCAGTTGGTGCTTGATATAAAAAATACAGTATCTATATTCCAAAATCCCAAACAAATCGGTTCCATTTTCACATGTAGAAAAGAAAGCATATGTCCGAAAACATGCCCCCCCTGTTCTCTGCGCGAATACGTAGATTTCAGCCAGTCAGGGACCAGCCAGCCATGTTGCCATGTGCGCTAGACTACGTCTGAGGGTATCAGTCGCATTAATCGTATACATATTATACAACATATACATATACATGGACCCCTCCCTTTTGACGTGTTCTAGCTTTAGCTCGGTACAGAATAGTGGGATGAGCAGGCCGCATATACCATCCGCAAGCAGTAAGAGGATGAGCAGGTCGTTCCCCATCCCCCATCGCATATGTATTCTTCCTTCATAATTGGTCTGAGCTGACACAAGCTTGCCCACCTTTCCCTTGCTCTTCAAAACAAGCTCAAGGCTTCCAGAGTCTAGACAATCAGACTTGTGATGAAATGTTATTCGACGTATGACTTTCATTAGACGCACGTATCCATCCATACCCGACGATGACCGCATTCTTAGGTCGCTGATCTTCATCTCCTATTACAAGACCATTTGCAAACAAGTGAAAACCCAGACGGGATTTGCGAGGCTTGGCGGGGTGAGGGCTACGTGGGTAGGTAGGCAGGCCAAGGCAATATGTCATAGGTATTATTAGCAGCATTAGGGGACGGGGAGGGGATACGGAATTGATATCGTCGATCTAATACCGTATTTTGACGGACCCTTTATCCGCTAACACGGACTGACCCACCGTTGATCTGATATGATATGATATGAATGCCTTGACCAGCCCTAACTTGGCCAATCTTAGATAGGTACATACCTATCTAAGCTTTCAACACCCTAGGTTAGGTAGCTTTAAAGCTTGGACAAAAAGCTATGTCTCCATTCTAAAGATAACGCTCATGTTTGACCTAGGTACCTACAATCTAATATACCAAGCTGCCAAGATTACCGAGCGACGCTTGGCTGGAATGTTTTGTTTTACATAGCATTAGTTACTTGCTGCGACGTCTCTTGTTTCTTTTCTTTTCCGGAAGACTAAGGAAACGGGGCGGAACGTTTCAACAGTTGAGATAGCCCGTTTCTACATAAGGGTTCTTACTATTATTAGGAGTGTATACATTACGCTACATACATGTAGTATAGCGTATTATATCTTAGGTACTAAGTAAATATAGATAACTGCCTAACCTAGGTACCTATAATACCTAGACTACTACACAGTGTAGTAAAGCATATCCCGATCGTCATAAGAGGCTGAGATATATAATAACCCACCGACTTTCGAACCATAAAAACAGTATACAACGTACAACCAAACTTATCCATCCGGCAATCCAAGCACATGCATTCATCTTCTACGACACATGTGCATACGCTAATTTTTATGTAGGTTGTACAATTAATGCCGGTATGCATCCCTACCATCTCAAGGCTAAACGGGCTGGACTTGTCCCGTCTCGCTACCTTATCCACGGTCTTGGACCTTGGTGCTCGCCTTATCCTCTTTCCTTCCCACCCCCTCCATCCATCCATCCATCCATCCGTCCCCCCTCCCCGCGTCGACGCGCTTTGCCACATTGCCAATTTACACTACTACTACTACTACTATTATTATTATTATTATTATTACAACCACACGCGCGCATACATTAGGCTTTGATGACGATGCTAGCAGAAGCAGAGGGAAATGTGACGAGCAAGTTAGAGGACCTCCGGCCCAATTGCGACAAGTGCCTGTCCCCCGTTTCTGCCCTTCCTCTCCTTCTCCAGACGAGGTATCCAATCGAGCCTTGAGTCACACCTACCTACCCTACGCTATTGCTTATCTTGCACGTTTTCCTCGGCTGCCTACCGAGCGGCTTGGAGAGGTCTTATCCTGCACGTGCGTAATTGATGAGGTGAGGAGAGCAAGGGGGTGGTGCGGGTGGTGCAACTCGAAAGCGAGATCGCGTCGAGACCTGTCTGGGCTGCACTCTGTCTTACGATAGAGTGACTGATTGAATGGCACATACGTAATTCTTGGAAGAAATGGTAGCCTACTAAGTTAGTGCATTTCTTCTAACACGAGCTCGTAGTGTAAGTCCCTTACGTTCGTCGCCTTATGGATTTTGCCTTCAATAAGCTTCTCGGGTTTTGTTTCTCACGATGAGCACATGATGAGCGGTACTACATTATCCCTCTTATTGATCATATACGAAATACACTATACGGACAACCACCTTAAGTCCGGGTATATACGTCCACGTATGTATGTTAGGTAGGTATGTACTATGTATGTACTATGAGACCGGGGATCTATGTGCTCACCAATCTGTTCGTTGAGACCCTGCGGGATTTATATGAAATGCTGTAAGATGAGCGCAGCGCAGGGTAACATAAACTTAATCAGCCTAGCGAATGAGAACGTGGCGATCCTAACGCTTCGCTTTTTCTCTCTGCAAGTGCAGTTCTATCAAGTGCAGTTCTATCAAGTGCAGTTCTATCAAGTTGCGGGGTTCTACCTACACTACTCTGGTTTTTGATCCCGTCGCACGGGGCAATGATGAAATAAAAGACAAATAGGACGAATAGGTATGTAGTAGGTATATCGCCAGATGATGTTAGCTATAGGTAGGTACTAATGTAACTACCTAGGTAATTAATGTATAGACACAGCTGGCTAGCTTAAACCCGCACTCGTGTGACTACGTTAGATGGAGATAATTCGCCAAATCCGGCAAAGCAAAGGAAAAGGAATGGAATCCCAAGACTATGGTAACTCGTCCCGTACATAGGTACGTTTTGTAGGTAGCGCAGAGGCGTAGAGGAACATGACGTATTGACTTTCCTGCTTATTAATAGAGCATTATTGGCAGGCATTCCCCAGACCCCAAATCTAACCAAATCTAATAAAAGCACGCTACTAGCGATAAGCATTAATATGTATTTTGTACTTGTAACTAAGCTAAGCTAAGCTGAACCGTCATCAGTATCAAATCATAGATAAGTACATATCTTTAATGCCCAATCCGCATACCTATCGATGTTTGCCATCCGCTAAAGATACATATCAAGAAATGATATCGGTAAAGTACGTCGTCAATGTGCAATGCAGATAGCTTATTACGCCCCCCCTCCTTGATTAAACATATCTCTAAGCCCTTCTTGGCATACGAAAACACCATCTTAACAGGAAATCCCGTATTACTATGATCGGAGATTCTGTTGAGATGCCCAGACGGTTGTGTTACGTGTCCCCGCGACAGGGCGAAATGAAGTAAGTGGCCTAGATTATGGTGCCAGAGACAACGCTATATCTTGCTATCTACCTAGGTATATATGTATTGTACTATGCAAGCACGGGGTAAAGAACGTGGACGCCCACCGCTCGTAGGCATGGCTGGCATGCCGATGGAACTACTGCAGCGGCGAGACAGGCTGGCGGCAGGAGGCTTTCTCTCGGCGGGGTGGATTCCGCGATACACCGCTCGAGGAGCAAATATGCCAAGTTGATACCAAGAATACCAAGAGCACACAAGACGGGTTTATGCAAGTCACACAAAACTTTGGTGTGTGTAGCTTGTCTCGATTTGTCTCTATTTGCTCTGATAATCTTGACCTCAGTATATGTAGGTAGAATAGAGGATTTAGGTATGATCAGACCTTATTATCCACCGACTGTCTTCCCCCGAGCGTGACATATCTACCTAAGTTATCCCATGTCGCTTGCAGTCGATACATAGGGGAGCTGGCAGGCATCTAGGCTTCGAGGTAGGTGAGACTTGGCGCGGTGACGTGCCGGGGCAAGCTGAAGTGCTGTTTCACAGATACTGAGCGCGGGTGATCGACAGGGCCTTGCTCTAGTTTCTACCAAAGAGAGTGCCGACACTAGAGCGCTGCTTGGCGAGCTTGGCTGCATGTTCTATCTGCGCTGAATCTACTTGGCAAATTTGGAAAAAAAAAATGTAGGTTTGCGCTATTTCCTGTTTATATATTGTTAAGGATACTAGGTTGCAGAAAAGTCCGATGTGTAATCTACAATAGCCATGGCGATGTGTGTGTGTGCCGCTGGTCCACGGATGACTGAAGACGGAGTTCAAAAGTTAATAGGGGCTTAGCTGTGATGATCAAGTATTCACTAAGCGACATAGATGATGGAACAGCACCGACGAGGGTTATATTTCTCGGTTTGAGTTGGTGTAAATAGACCTTGTAATTCATGGTGGGTGCTTAACAAACGCACTAATTTGACTCGACCCTTGACCTAGCGTTTATTGACTGGCAACCTCTTAACTGGAACTTAGTAATGCCACCGGGTTTAGAGATGGGTCGTCGACTTACGCGGAAATATCCAGATTTATTTAAGCCAAGCAGAAGTAAAGCATCTGCCCCACGGATGTTTCAACTTGCTCGCCCTGCATAGTCGAGGCCATCTCAATAGGTTCGTTCACCAACTCTCACGATCGCCTGACCGACACCATACATCTCGGCCATAGCTCTCCAATTTAGTGAAACCCAATCAGGACCGTTCCTCAGAATAGCTAGGCCTTGATCATCGATCGATTCGGCATCTGATTTAATATCCATTCTGATATCTGTCTTGATCGATGAACTTGTCTTCCGGTGAAACGGGCAGAAGACGGTGAGATGAACCTTCCAGGCTAATAACTCGACCTTTTCCAAAT